TAGTAAATATATATCGATAAAATTTTTTACTTTGTATAGATTTAAAAATTTTCAGGTGAATACAGAAAAGAACACAAACATAACCCAGATAGCACATTTGTAATTATGAGGAATTCCTGTTAGTCGTAGGAATTTCTTTTTTGATAGGGGCATTCGTGGAAACCTACATTTGTAGGAAATGATAAGAAAAAAAAAACAGATAAAAACGGGAGACGGCTGTTAATGGCAGATTGGAAGAAGTGAAGTTGTTGGAGAATAATGTAGAATGTATGCTGTTTATAGTAAGAATTAATAAGAAAATATTAAAAAAAAAATAAAAAAAATCAAACAGATAGTGAAGTGAATGGAAAGAATGGGATAGAAAACACAACGGTAAATTAGAAAACCATCAAAAATTGCATGCAAAAAAAGGAAGTTATCACATGGTGAACCTAATGAAAGCAGTAGGATATAAAAGACAGGGGTAAATTAGGGAAGAAAAAAAAATTAGCATATTTCTTTGATGATATGAGAGAAATTAATTTTTTTTTTGTGGCAAACAGATTCACAGATATCCCATATAGCACGTTTGGACAGTATTAAATAATCCTGTTAGTTGCAGTAAATTTGGTTTTTACAGGGGCAAATATGGAAAAGGAGAATCATGTAGAGTGTATGCTGTGTATAGTAAGAATTAATAAGAAAAAATTAAAAAAAAATAAAAAATTGAGCACATAGTGAAGTGAATGGAAAGAATGGGATAGAAAACACGGGGAAATTAGGAAAACATCCAAAATTGAATGCAAAAAAGGAAGAAATTATCACAAGGTGAACCTAATGAAAAATAATAGTTTAAACAAATTACCTAAACAATTTAATCATATTGACCAAGAAAAATAATAGTTTAAACAAATTACCGATACTTTTAAACAAACATATGGCTGATACTTTTATTATCTAAGGTTTCAATCTTTCAGTTTGCATCAAATTATAGTGCTCACTGCTCACAATTATCATTAGAGCCGGAAAAGGAAATGCCAAACAAACATACTAAGAAGAAATGAAAATTAAAATCAATATAAACGAACAATCTACATTTGTAAACAAGAGGTATTTAATTTCAGCAAGGTTATAAACAGACAAAAAATAAAAAATGTTTTTTTTTGTTATTTGGTTTAGACATTTCTTCAAACAGGTGGTGGGCATAGATACGAAGACACACATAGAAACGAAATTAACATGTAATCGGAACTAAAATCCACTGTGACATGAAATTAACATGCAAACTTACAGCCTTCAGTTGTATTAGATACAATAAATCGATAGAAAAGTCGAAAATCAATAGAAACCATAGAACACATACTAAAATCAGATATTGACGGTGACATGAGAGAGAAATCGGAAATTCGAAATCCACAGCAACCAGCCTGAATCGATTGTGCGTTGGAACCCTCAGTGGAGCGATGGTGGTGGTGAGATCCGGTAACTTACGCTCAAATACAACAAATCAGAGCACCGATTTAGGGTTTGATGGCTTGGATGAAGGAGTAGCGGTGGTACTGTGGTGACCTTCTGAAGCAGATCCGTCCCAGTAGTGGTAGTATCAAGTCATCGACAGTACCAATCTGTGAATGGGTTATAGAGGCGGTGAAGAAATTGAAGGAACGGAGGCGTACAACAATACCCCCAAAAAAATTAACGAAACACACCTGTGGTGGTAGTGGTAAAAGCCGTAGGGTAAGTTGGCCGACGGAGGTGTCAAAGGCGCATGATGATGCCTCCTTCTTTCAAAACCGACATGCAGAAGAGTGAAGCTGGTTGTCTGGAGGTAGCCGATTCGGCGATGCGTACCTTAGCGGGAGGTGGTGGAGACGATCGAAAGAGATATCCGCTGCTACACCAACAGGTGGTGACGAAGAAGAAGGGATAGGCGGTGGAGACGATCGATGGGTTGGTTGGTTTAAGGAGCGGTGTAAGTGTGGAGCGATAGAGAAAAAAGAAAGAGATGAAAAAAAAGTTTTCTTCTGCATATTGAAATCGATGCAATTAGGGGTGAAGAGGTGAGCAATGACGGTGGAAGATAGATATTGGGCGAGAGAGGCGGCGACGAACACAACATGAACACGTTGCAGAGATTAAAAGCCAAAACCAGCGCCAAACCATCGATGATGCAAAAGCACGTGGACACACAATATAGAAAATGATAAAATATACCCCTCTAAAAGAAACAAGCCACAATTGTAAAAACAGATATAGACGAAGGACGATTTCTGCCAAAAAAACACACTTCACTGTAGCTAAGGTAGGACAATTTTAATATATATAAAATTATATATATATATATATATATAATATATATATATTTGTGTTAAAAAAAAATAATGTCAAATCAAATGTCAAAAATTTGATTTAATTGACTTTAAGTGGGTAAATATGGATAAGAATGGTACTTATAGCACAACCCTTTTGAGAAAATAGAAATCAGTGGAGGACATGATCAATGAGAAAGCGGTGAGGAGACAAAATTAGAACACATAGACATTCAGGTAGTGGATCGGTGGGATTAAACTAACCCGAGTATACTAACTAACCCAAGGAACAATACCCCGATTAGGTACTGTTTCGAAGAGAACAAAGTTTTAATATAATATATAATGTAAGAGGTGAATTTGAAAGTATTGAAGTTATTAAGAAAATAAGATGAATATTATAGGAACCATTATATTAAAGAAAAAGAAGAAACCAATTATAAATATATATCAATTGAAGTGATATTGTAGAAACCATTATTACACTGTTCTATGTATTTAAGCTTTAGTTCGTGTATTTAAAATTACCCTATAAAAAACTGTGTTTTTTTAATAGCTAAATATTTTATTAGAAAATTAGCAAAAAGCTAACACATAATTATAAATTGAAACACCTTGGATACATGTCAATGATTAAAATATGAATGTATTTGAACTCTTTTATTAAAAGTTACATCAAAATATTATTTTATTATCGTTGTGTTGTATTATAATTTATTTAATTAAATAAAATATTTATATATCTTTTATAAAAATAATATTAATAAATTATTTATAAATAAACTAAATAATATTTTAGTAAATAAATCAATTTGTGTATTAAAAAGTTATAAATCATAAGTTAATTAGTAAAAGTATTAGAAAGAATATAATCATTAATTTAATTAGTAGGAATAAATGAAGAAAGGATAGGAATAAATGAAGTATCTGCTCACACCCTTGGCCGTACTAGCACTCTACCAGCGAGTCAGCACGCCTTCCTCGTTCAATTATTATGCACGCCGTTTAAAAGAAAATATTATATTGTTCTTCGTCTTCCCCAATTCTTTCAAATGTTAGGGTTTTAACTTCCACCTGGTGCTTCAATTTCAGTTGAAATTTACCTAAGAAACGACATATTCAGGTCAGTTCATGATCAATTCAACAACGTGATTATATTATTATGTCATGCGCTTTAGATGTTGTAAAAAAAAGTCCGTCACTGTTCTTTTCCTGATCGGAAATACAATTTTTTACAGATCGGAATTCGTTCGTTCTCTTCGATTCACTCATGAGTTGATTTAGATTGTTGTTCTGTTCTTCGAATTTTTCAATAAACCCCCGTCAAATCACAATGTATTTGGATCCTAATACCAATTTAGCATCAACATTTCTCTTAGCTTGCATTGTTTTTCTTTTTAGTGCTCATCAATCCTGAACTTGAAATTAGTAGATTAAACCTCAAATAAAAATGTACCTCCTGTGTTTGAATGATGTGAGCATTTGGCTTACTGATCTAATCTCTTTCTCCCAAAGAGAAGAACATTTCAGCTAAAATTGTTTGTCTTAAGGATCTAGATTACCATCTGTCTCTTTATAGGACTTAGCTGTTGTTTCTTTTTGACTTAATGGACTTAACAGGAACCGAACGAAATATATATATATATATATATATATATATATATATATATATATAATATAATGTATATATATATATATATATTAAATAATATATATATAATATATATATATATTATATATAATTGTTTCTTTTTTACTTAATATACAGAATATGTCTGAACAGGCTAAGTGAAGATATGGACACTTTATATATTCAGATCCTCATTTTCCAATTATACCCTTTTTTATTACTTCCTAAACATCATTATGTCTCCTTTTTTCTCTGCTGCAGCAAACTACCTCTCATCTTCTATATAGATAGGAGTTATTAAATTGATGAAAATCCAATCTACACGTGGTCACGATAATAAGTGAGAGATAAGTTGTTATTCAAAGTGTTTCCAAATATGAAACTATTTGTTTAAATACTTAAAAGGAGAACTAGGAAAAATATAAATTCATGATTTTAATAATCAAATATTTTTATTGTTCATATATTTAAAACCATATATTAATCATTTAGTTGATAGTCTTTTTACTATAAGATAAATATTATGTATGAGGGTATAATGGACATTTATTCATATTCAGACAGTTTTTTAATTTCAAAAAAGAAACAAGCTTACTGTATACAATCAGATGTCATTATAAATTCAGTCATATTATCCATTCAGGACTTAATATATATAAAAAAAGAAACAACCCCTTACATGTCTTCCTTGAGTTACAACAAACTGTTGATTTCTGATTGTACGATTACTGTCTGCTTGTATTCTCCACTGTTATATTATAGTTTTCTGAACATTTTACATTTGAGTACTTTTGTTGCCCAGTGTTCAATATGGAGCCGAGACAGAAGCAGAAGTCCTGGTTTAGCCAAGTCATTCAGAAGCAAAGCCCTGTCTTCTTACCCTGATGCACCTAATTTCTCTCTTTAACAGTTGGGATATTTCACTGTCTTCTCTCCCGTGTGTTCATCCCAATTGTTCTAAAATCCAATCATGGTGATGACCAGGACAGGACCTTCTTTCCAAGAAGTCGCACTGCGTGTGGGTTCCTGCAATCTTAAGGCAGACCTAGACCTTGAAAAGTTTGACCCTACGCTCCATATAAATGATCGAGTTTCTAAAAAGTCACCCTATTCACAAACCCTTGACTAAATCAACTGAGTTTCCTTTAAGCATCATTCATACAGCATACTCCAGTGCCATTTATGACTCTGATGAAGAGTACATCGAGTTCGACATCAATAAAGATAACACTATCAAACTCTGGAAGGCTGAGTTCCTGGAGGCCATTGGATTTCCAGAGAGCAAGGAAAAAAAGACATTCTATGAACCCACAAATGAAGAACTCTTTGACGTATTGGATCAAATGGGGTATTTACCTCCAAGGCTTGAAATGACCCCAAACTTCAAGAAAGGTAAGCTTCCAGGCATTTGGCATTTTTTGGTGCACATCATTGTGCGGTGTCTCACAGGAAAGGTTGGAGGAACTAGCACACTAAATAGGGCTTTTCTTGTACTTCTTTATGGTATTTACACTGGGAAGGAGGTGGACTTTGGAACCATTATCTGGAAGGATTTTGCTGGTTGTGTGTTTCCAAGGAAGAAGGAAATTCCTTGTGCAAGGTTTTGGGCACTTGCTCTCCAAAGGGTGTATGCCAAACTGAATGTCCCATTACCTGAAGGAGAAGAGATGTTCACTACTGGTACTGTATCCCGGTATGCTATCCCAGATCAAGCTGAATTTGGGAAGGTTGCTCGTCTCCCTGAAGCAATGCTTCAATATATTGAAAAGAACTCTGAAGTTCTCATTAGACATATAGAGGAAACAGATCCTCCAGAAACTGGACACCCTATCCAATCCTCACAATCAGTTAGGCCTACTGAGGGACATACTTCAAGTCCTGCACGTAAAAAGCAAATTGCCTTGAATGTAAAGAAAACTACTGGTCTTGGAACCAAAAGAAAATGTGAGACACTTCCTGCCCCTCAAGCCAAAAGACCTACTGTTGGGTCTCAGTCATCTTCCTCTCACGTCTCTTTATCCTCTGAAGAAGACGATGTCTTACAAAAAAATGGGGATATAGCAAATACACCGCCCCCTTCCTCTCAAAAGCAGACCCCAGGGATACACTCACATATCAATCTTAATGCTACAGAGCCAAGTTCTTCTTTCCACACTATCAGACTTGAGAAGAACTTGAGGGGATCTCCTGGAGATAATACCAAAGATCAAGGACCCCAAGGAAGAGTTTTTGAGCCTATGCTGAAATCAAGCTCAATCCCATGCCCAGAGTCTAGTTCTATGGCACACCGACCCTTGCAAACAGGGTTCTTTTGGAATTTCCATTGGTGAGGCAGAGGTGAGAGCATCAGAGAGTGAGAGTGTAAGGCAAGCAAGAGATGAACAAGAGAGGCAAAAAAGAGAGCAGAGTGAAAGAGAGGAGATATTGAGAGCTGAGCAAGAGAGATTTTCTCAGATATACTACTATAATATATACCTGTATGAGCAAATGCTAAGAGAGCAGAAAATAAGAGACGAGATGGAAAAAGAAGAATCGAAGAAAGTGAAAGCTGCGAAACATGCAGAATATAGAAAGAAAAGAAAAGAGATTTTAATGGAGAATAAGAGGAAAGAGGATGAGCTAAAGGCTAAGATGCAGAGAGAGCAAGAGGAAAGAGAGAAAACTAAAGCTCTAAGAGAGGCCGAGGCAAAGAAAGAAGAGGAGCGAAAGGAATTAGTAAGAATTTTGCGGGAGGAGCAGCTAAAGAGGGAAGAGGAAGAGTGGGCCCGGACTTCTGCCAAACTTCTTGAGCAGGCCATGTCTTTGGACCCATTCACAAAGACTGGTATGGAGTCTGCTCAAGACATGGAAAAGGACTTTGTGTTTACTGCTGATGATGGACTCATCCAAGACTCTGATTCACACTCCATTATGGAGACACTCAAACCCTCCAAATCTACTATTTTCTTGGCAACTTCAGAAACAGAAAGTCAGGAAGCTCCCAAAGGAGACACCAACACTCTTCCTACCACCACTGTGGGTACATCCACACCTCGCAGACGCACTAAATGGAAGAAGAAGAAATCCAAAATATATCTCCAGGGTGGAGTTTAATTCCCTCAACCAGAAGTTGTCTCAGGTTCTAGAGGTTGTAAACAAGATCCCTCCATCTAAGGATAAATTTGTGACCAAGGAAGAGTTTGGGGAAATGCAGAAGGTTGTGACATCCTTAGCCCAAAGGGTTCCTAATCTTGAGACTTGGGAAAAGACGCTTCGGGATTCAGTCGTCAAATATACTGCAGATGCTCTGAAGAACATGGAGCAGAAGAGGACCAATGACACATTTAAATATTTGGATCGAATGGATGAGATGTTGAAAATGGTGAAGGAAATTCAACAGTCGTATGATGACCTCAGCAACACCATGGGCCGCCAACATGGAGATGAGATTGTCCGTTTAAGTGAGCAGCTCTGTGACTATCGCAACAAAAATATAATTCTTCAGGCTGTTTTGGTTAAAGTAATACAGTCTGCACAACAACTGCTAAGACCCTGCAATGTAAGATTTGATGAAGTTCTCTTCGCCATGCAGAAAGTTCAAAATTCTGTGGATGTACTTCCAAAGACTCTATGCAATGATGAGCTAAGTAAACAGGTTCCACAGTCGTTTCAAAAAGTGTTTGACCTGATAGAGAACTTAAAAGGTTCAAAATCCGTGGATGAAGCTGGAGAAGATGAAAATGTGGTGATAACTGAAACTTCTCCTTCTCCCAAGATAGATGTGGTATCCAAACCTCAACCACCTCCTCCACCTACAAAGACCACAATTCCTCCCACTGAATGTGAGATTCATGAATCACCAAAGATTCCATCTCCTCCCACTTCATTTGTCATGCCTCCTGTCCAAATCGCGCCAGAGTTCCCTGAAACCCCCAAAGCTCCCATCAATGATAAAGGCAAAATGCCTTTGGACATTTCTGAAATGAGTCCGATGAAAACCTTTCCAGTGTGTGAGAAAGAGGTGAAGGAACACGCTTTATCTCCTTTGGTCTATGTTATCAGACAGTTAAGGGTTGATGAACTTGTGCCCAAACAAACTACAGCTCCTCCTGCCTCCGATGAATATCAGTGGGATATACCCATGTCTCCAAATGCACGATATTATTCAGTCTTCCAACCACTACATCCACACCTCTCAAGTGAAATGCAAATCCCAATTGAGCTGAACCGACTAGAGGAGTTTTTCAAGGCTCATGCTCAGCCCCCAAAAGATGTATGGTCTCTCCGGAGGATCATACGAGTCTTGGGATATAAGAAGAAGTCTTTTAAGAAGGAAGAGTACTTTGGTTTTGAAGTGGTGCGAAGCGATAACATAAAATATTTCTTCTCTGAAGCTGATTTTCCTAACCTTAATCCCAACGACTTATATGTGATTGGCAGATACTTCCAGAACAAACTCCTCACTCATGAACCTTCCCGATTTCCCTTTCTCCAAATCCAGAGATTTCTAAGATCTTTGGTCTCTGATCTTAGCAGCATTGATGCAGAACGATTTGATAGCTTTGTGGATAACCCACCTGAAGAGATGAACCAAGATCTGGAAGGAATTGAAAACAGACATCGAGGACCTACTGAGGATCCTGAACTTGGGATCATCTTCTCTAATGAAAAGGATAGTCCGAGGCTCTTTTTTAGATTAAAACAGAAGCATCGCTGCACAACAGAGTTCCTTGAAAAGATGATCAATCTTACCTTAAGGTCCAATGCATCTGCAGCTATAAAGGTGAAGATCATTGAAGAACTAGAGTGGTGGGTAGCGGTTCGTAAGTGGATCAAGAGAGTAAAAAACCTGGTGACAAACAAGATCTGAACATGGTCCAACAAATGTCATTTTTTGCATTGAAAACACTAGATATATGTATCTTCTCGGTGAGTAATTTAAAACCTCATTTCATTGACTTTCTGTATTAAATTGTTCTTTTTGCATCAAGTGAGAAATCAGGGATAATCACTAAAATAATCAAAATTGTATGGTAGTTTACCAAATTGACAACTTTTTTGACCCTTTAAACGAAATGACCATCAAATTTGGCAATTGGGTCAATTGCAAATTGCAAATTGCTTTATGAATGGTCCCATGAAAAAAAAATCTTTAAAAAATAACTAAGAATAAATTACATTTTTGGTCCCTGAGTATAGCGTAACTGATTTTTGCAATTTTATTCCAAGAAGTTATCTTGCAATTTTGGTCCTTACTCCCGTTCTTGTAACGTTTTTGGTCCTGTTCCAAATAAAGTGCCTATTTTTGGTCCAGAGTGTAGCTAATTTTTGCATTTTTGTACCAAAAATATTGTCGTTTTATTTGCAATAGAGACAAAAAAAGACAATACAGAAACCTTCAAGTACCAAAATTGCAAGAGAATTCTTTTTGAACAAAGTTAAAAAAACAGCTATACACAGGGACCAAAAATGTAAATTACTTAATAAATAAGTATCTACAAAAAAAATCATATTTTGTAACTGACAATTTGCAAAAAAAAAAAAAAAAAAAAAAAATTTTGCTGCCTTTGCCAGTAAAAGTAGTTGGCGGTATTTTTGTTTAAAAGGGTAAAAACGTGGTCAGTTTATAAAATGAGACCCAACCATGGTGGTCATTTTTTGTGGTTATCCAAAAAAAATAAGCGCCAACATATGCGTGTGTGTGTGTGTAACTGTGTGTGTGTGTATATATATATATATATATATATATATATATATATATATATATATATATTATAGATTATGAGTTATGAGATTAAAAATATTGTTGTTGTGTGTGTAGGCTGAGATTGGAAGGCATTCGACCTCAGATCATGAGTGGGAAGTATACAGATCAAGGATTTGGAGTAACAAGTGAAACAGAATATTGTTGATAAAGTTAGAAGAAGAAGTCTCATGGGGTGTAGTAATGGTGTTTTGTTGTTGAATCGAGAACATGGTGATGGTGGTATCCTGTTTACTAATTTTAGTGTTGTTTCTCTTTTGCTACTATTAAGTATTAAGTGTGTGTATGAGTGGTCTTTTTGCTCTCTGTCTGGTACTGTAGCAAAAGAGTAAACATTCTTTGATGGGGGTGATTCTTTTCTTGACTCTTGTGGTGTGGTCATATAATGGGTACAACTTGTAATCATGGGTTGGGGTGTTTTGGTGTGTGAATTCTTTTCATTATAGCTGAAGGTGTTTCTAAATCTGGACACCAAAGAGTTGATTTCTTATACAAGGTAATTACGATAATACCCTTACATGGCTACTTGCATTGCAATTGTTAATCTTATTTAAAATGCTGATGGTTGTTATTGGTTCAGCAGCAGTTGGTGTGACTGTGGTGGTATTCAAGATTGGTGATACTGCTGTGCTGGAACAGTTGATAAACATTATTATTACAATAATGCAAATTTTACAGCCCTGGATTCTTCTGGAACAATCGATAAACAATATGTAACTCTTAATACCAATGTACATACATTTTCTTTATTATACATTATTGCAATTTTCCCATTCCTAAGTTTTGAAGGGTAATAAATATCATAATTCCTGCTTAATCTTTTATTTACCAAAAAGTAGGGAAGGAAGGGAGGGGAGCCAAAAGTGGTGGTGAAATGGAGTCTGCACAAGCTAAAAATCAAGCACTCAGACTCAGATGCGATGATGGAGCTGTGGTCCCCACTTCATTTGAAACCTCTGGATCAAAGGAAACAACATATGAGAAATTGGTGATAATATGTCACATATCCTACGTGGCAATTTAAATTTAATTTTGATGAATCGTGTCTTTATGTTATGTGGCATCCTACATGGCTGGCAACTTGGAGTTGAACAAAAACTAAAACTTCACAGACCAAGAATTCATCTTCAACATCACTAGAGTCTAGAGGTGCATAATGATGTATGTGTTTGAGCTCACTCAACCAAACCAGTTAGTTACTATTTTCTTTTCTTGCAAGTGGAGGTCGCTGTTATGACTTACAATATGGCATCAAAGTGGCCCACTTATCTCATCGATTCTCATTAGTTATTGCCATTTGGCTGTTTTCATGGGGATCAAGGAATATAAACAGTCACGAAGTTATAATTTAGAATCAATAAAAAGTATTTCGTCAATCTTAACCAAAACAACATGTTAAAATGAATTTCTTGGAACTACAATATCAAGTTGATTTTGATTACTTAAAAGATATTGAATATTATAAAGAATATAATAATAAGAAAAGAGCTTGACACGAAGAAAATTTGTCATATTACTTAAGATTTTTTCATTTGGGTTTTTGGAAATATTATGTTTTATCAAATAAAATTAACTTTTCATTTTCTCAATGGTTTGAATTAATTTATGCCCTAAACATGATATAAATTATCCATTTAAAAATGATTCTATCACCTTTGTTTTAGAGAAGAAATACAAATATATTACTTATAATAAAGAAATTATTGTTGATTTTCCATGGAAAAAAGAGATTATTATTGATGATCACCCTTGTTTTAGAGAAGAAATACAAAAATATTACTTAAAGAAATTATTGTTGATTTTCCATCGAAAAAAGAGATTATTATTGATGATATGTTTATTGCAACTCTTTTAGTCTGAGCCCCAATCAATCAACTACAGAAAAGGGTCTTCAAAAAACTATTTACCAAAATAATTATTCAAACGAAACTTTATATAATATTATTGAGCATTTAGTTAAAATTGAAGAAAAAATTAACAAAGATAAAAATGCTAATAATCAAAAGATATAACAAGCACCAACAATATTGTATTCTTTGTCAAATTGATGGAAATTTTAATCTAGGGAATAAAGATTTAATAAACGAATTTAAAAAAAAGACTTTCAAAACTTCATATTTCTAATACAAACAATATTAATACTCTCACGAACACTATTTTAACAAAAATTTCAAATATTGTAGATAGTTTGGGAGATTGAATATTTTTCTGAATGCCTATAACTAGAAACTAGGGGTGTGCATCAAACCGCACAAACCGCATAATGCGGTTTTGGACGCTCGTGGTGCGGTTTGCAGTTTGTAGTTTTCATAAACCGCACTATGCGGTGCGGTTTATAGTTACCAAACCGCGGTTCAAACCGCACTGCAACATACCATATATATATATATATATATATATATATATATATATATATATATATATATATATATATATATATATATATATATATATATATATATATATATACACACACACACACACAACACGCTAGATGTTTACCACTTTTGATACCCTTAATAATGTTTATGAGATTTCGATTGATAAACATGAGTCAAAATGGGAAGCCAACTATATCAAAAATATGTGTTTACAGTACCATAAGTTCATATTATAATTTTAAAATATTATAAAATATTTTGATGTTATGCATAAAGAAGATGCTTATACATGCAATTAATCTTTTCTTCATAGAATATAAAGCACCACATAATTATTATGTTTAAAACTAAATTTAATATTTATGTTTATGAAACCGCATAAACCGCACAAAAACCGCAAAACCGCCCGCACAAAACCGCACCGCATAACGCGGTTTATTACCTTTGCGGTGCGGTCTGCGGTTCCCGAAAATAACAAACCGCATATGCGGTGCGGTTTGCGGTTTTGAGGATAAACCGCACCGCGAACACCCCTACTAGAAACATTACATCTATTTATAGGAGTCTTGAGGTCTTCAAAATCTTGAAATCGGATACCGAAAGTTTACCGGGTCTTCTTTGAGAATTATTGAATTGAGTAATATTTATCTTATGTTGAAATGGCAGACAATTGAAATAATTTCTCTTGTGGCTGTCACTCTTGAAATCATCTTTTGAAAAGTTTTTTGTTGTTTGTAATCAACGATTATCTTCTTTTGATAAAGCACATGTCGTCTTGTAATATCTTATATCTTATATCTTATACTATATATAAAACATATTTGTCATATCTTGAATTTTAAGAGGTACAAGATACAAAGCTTTTTGTACAAATCAATTATGCATAACAAAACCATTAATACTTGCCAAAATTTTGAAAACTTGAATTTAGGAAGGTTATTAATAAATTAATTTGAAGTAAAATAACAATTTTAAAATATTAAATCCATCAATATAAGTTAATTTACATTTCCCGTAAGAAAGCTATTTGCCAAAAAAGTTATTTATCACAGCTGCTTTGTGAGCACACATCTATATATATATATATATATATATATATATATATATAGAGAGAGAGAGAGAGAGAGAGAAACTACGAAGCACCCTCATATTTCAATATCATATTGTGTAGTATAATACAAGCGTATATTATATTTTTTGTTTTCTTCACCGTCATAGCTCGTGCAAACATTTTTAATATGTCCCAATGTCCTTTAAGGACCCCAGAAACACGTTATACGTCCTTTCTTGCTGATTCTTGTGCCGCCTTGAATCGTATCTTTTTGTCGGTTATTGGATATGGATATGCATTCGCAAATACAACCATGATGGATATTCCATCCGCAAGATAGTAACCATGTTTGTAGTGTTCATCATTCAGATAAAATGAACAATCGGGTCAGGTTCCATGATATTTCTCATCAAACAATGGTGATTGGTAGAGGACGTTTAAATCATTATTAGAACCGGCTACACCATAGAATGCATGCCAAAACCATAAATCTTGTGATGTCACCGCTTCTAGTATCATTGATGGATATTGATGGTCACCCCCCATGTATTGGTCTCTCAATTCCGTTGGACAATTCCTCCAATTCCAATGTGTGCAGTCAGTGCTACCAAACATTCCAGGGAATCCATGTATATCTTCATGTGCTTCATACAAAAGTTGAATGTCAGTGGATGTTGGATGACGTAAATATTCAGCCTTATACATTTGGACAACACCGTAGCAAAAATTTTCAAGAGCTTCACGAGAAGTTCTTTCTGATATATTAAGATACTCATCTAACGAGTTTGGGTTGTAACCCTTCACTAATTGACGTATTGCTGATGTGTATTTTTGTAGCGCACTGAAACTTCTTTGATTTGTTGCATCGCATGTTGTTTGAAAATAAGGATAATTCGTCTCTGGGTCACCAACAAGTCGCATAAACAAACCTTTGCTCATACGAAACCTTCTACGGAATTGCGCGTGTCCATAGGTTGAATCATATGCACAATAATGTCGGATCAGCAGTCGTTCAGCCTCTAAACGATCTCTGTGGATTGTGATTCTCCTTTAAATGTTGCTTGAACTAGCATTATTCTGGAGAAGAAGTTGTGCAATACGAGACAATACAGGTAACAAATTATTGTTGATAAGTTCATCCTCAGATGTTGAACTATCATCGTTAACTTCCATTACTATTTTTCGAATGTTTGGATTCATTTTGACAAAAAAGTAAAGATAGAGAGAAAATGAAACAAATAAACATATATATATAATATATATATATATATATATATATATATATATATATAATATATATATATATATATATATATATATGAAACAAGCAACTATATATAGATAATGAAACAAGGATACATACAGAGAATCATAATAAAAAGAAAAATATAAATAAAATAAAATAAAAATAAAAATAAAAATAAAAAACATAATAATAAAGAGAAAGATTCTCCAGTCAAATGATGTCGACATTTTGAACTTCACGGGTTATCCAACTCCCAACCATACTTAGTTGCAATTTGTCGTTTCCTTTCAAGCACCGTGAGCAAAATACCTCCGGTCAAATGATCATGCGGCCGGAAAAATACTCCATATCTTGGTTTTCTATCTCCCGATCCAACAATTGAGCTTTTCATTCTTCATCAGCTTCAAGAATGCGCAATTTTTGTTCCCGGTACCGTTGTCTCTGTTTCGGTTGCAGTCTTGATGCCGACAATTTGTCTGACTAGATCAAACATTTCATTTTCTATTGATGATGTCGATGTCGCTTTCTTTCCTTTTCTTTTTCTCTGAGGCGGTGACTCTTCAACAATAAACGATTGTTGTTGTTGGGGGAGAATCCAGGAGGATATTGTGGATCAGAAGATGATGTGTAGGCGTTGGATGAAGATGTTTTGGTTCGTTTAGAAGAAGGAGGCGGGGAGTCTTCACCAGGTTTTGTTACTAGAGATCATTTATCGTTATCTTTCAACCACTCCCAAGCTTGCTGATGGGGAAAAACTTTCTGATTATTAGTCCTCCGATACTCGCTTAGTGAAGATTGTAAAACAGCAGCCTCAGATCTCCCGCTACCAATACTGTTCATCTTACGGTTATAGATGTAGTTGAATGCGTTACATTTCTTTTGGAGGTCTTTCCATTTTTAGTTTACTTGGTTCCGTGACCGATTCGAGCCTCCCATTTGAATATTAAAATGCTCTAGAACCCTCTCCCAAAATGCATCGAACCTTTGTTGATTTCCGCCTTGTTTATCTTTAGAAACATCGACATATGCCATAACCAACGCCAACTCTTCGCGTTCCACCCAGTTCTTTCACTTCTGGCGGTGTGTATAGTTGCGTTTTTTCTCAGCAACGGGTTGCAACTCCTCGCTAGTTTCTTCTTCGTTTCTTTTGGGAGTCGCGTCACTAGAACTATCAGATTCTACGTTTGAGCATCACGGAACTGGAAATTCTCGGGTTGAGAAGGTTGGAATTGGGTTTCTGGAACTCTTTGATAAAACTGATTCCATGGATTATAACTCTGATTTTCCTCTGGAAGTCTAAATATGTTGTAAGATTGTTGCACCGAGAAATATTGTTGTGGATAGTTTTGGTTTTGTTGGTAGTTTCGGTATTGCTGATAGTTTGGATTTTGAAATTCTTGAAAAAGAAAATGGAATATCTTGACTTGAACCACCTTGTGTGGATTTGCATTTTTTACTAGAACCGATTTGTTTAGCTTTGCATCGGGAATCCAATGAATGTAACTAAATGAATCAAATGAAATATAAAACTTTCCAAAGTAAAAACACTACAAATGAATGAATTAGTTATTCATCTATATATAATATGACAAATGTAACGCCCAGTTCCTGGTACGTATTTAATTTATTAAATGTCTTTTATAAAGAGCTACTCGGCGAGTAGTAGCCCTAACTCGTCGAGTAGATGTCAGGTTGGACACGGGTTTTAAGTGATCTACTCGGCGAGTCCACGCCTGGACTCGACGAGTAGGCCAGTCTGGAGGAAACCCTAATCCTTAGGGTTTGTACCCTATTTAAACGTCCTTATAACCCCCATCCCAGCCTCCAGCACCCTTAGAGCGTTCCCCCTCGAAACCCTAGCCTCCATTGGTGAGCTTGAGTGATTCCTTCTTGATTTTGAGTGTTTTGGTGTATTCTTGGAAGGGTAGAAGTTAAGGAAAGAGTGAAGGTGCAAAGGAGAAGAAGGAGATCCAGAAGCTAGCTTCCATTTGCTACTTCATCTGGTAATAAAGTCTCTACCTTGTTCATTTTCCTAGTAGATCTTCATATATGCTTGTTTAGCCACTTTTGGGACATTTCAAGGTCCAAACTCAAGATTTGAGCTCTCCTTAGGATGGAGACTATAGATCTTGTCATCATTGAGCTCCAGGAGCTCAAAGTAGCTGCCTTTATGCGAAGCAAGGCCTTGTTCCAAACCCTAGGTTCCCATTTCTAGCTTATTTTGGTGTTTTAGCTTTATACCTCTATGCATGTACGTAAAGTTGGCAACTTTACGTGTTATATTGGCCCTAGAAGCTCAGATCTATGAATTGGATGCACTGAAATCGATTAGAATCAACTGTTTAGTGAGGACATGCATAGGACTCAACGAGTTGTTCTTGGACTCGACGAGTCGGAGCTGTTTAGAGTTGTGAGTTGAATCAGCGAGTGGAAGAGGACTCAGTGAGTTAGAACAAGGATCTGGAAGTGGAGGGACTCGACGAGTCCACGTCCCGACTCGGCGAGTCGAGTCAAGAGATAGAGAAGTGTGAGTCTAGGAACTCGGCGAGTTCATAGTAGGACTCGACGAGTAGAGTCAACCAGGAAGTTGACTATGACCCGGAAGTTGACTTTGACCAGGAAGTTGACTTGACCAGGGGTAAAATAGTCATTTTACCCTGAGAGTAGTTATCCATATCTGATTTAGTGTTTATGGGATTTGTAGTCGGGAAGTTCCGGAGCAGCAGTCAGACGGTTTCGGATTTAGCAACTCAGCAACCATCATTACGAGGTGAGTTCTCCTTCAGTAGGAATGGGTCTACGGCACCAAGGCCGGCCCGTAGTACGAGATGATAGTAGCCGAGTGTGGGCGGGGCCCGTATTCTATCTTAGCAAATGGTGGGCGAGGCCCGTATCTCATAGTGGTAGTTGATTATGATGTATGAGCATTAGATTAGCTTTACATGTTGTCTGTGTGATACTTGTATGATGGGTTTAACAGTTGAGTGTGGGCGAGGCCCGTATCTCATCATATCCGAGTGTGGGCGAGGCCCGTATCTCGAAGTAGCTGAGCATGGACGAGGCCCGTACCTCAGAGATACTGGAGTGTGGGCGAGGCCCGTATCTTTTAGATAGTGGAGTGTGGGCGAGGCCCGTATCTCCTAGATAGCGGAGTGTGGGCGGGGCCCGTATCTCCACGAGTGTGGGCGAGGCCCGTATCTCCTAGTTACATGCTATGTGTAGATGGTATGTGGTAGATTGGGGAGACTCACTAAGCTTCGTGCTTATGGTTTTCAGTTTTGGTTTCAGGTACTTCCACTGGCACTGGGAAGGGCTCGGGATGATCGCATGACACACACCACAGTCTTCAGCCTGGGAGTTAGACTCTGATATTTGGATATGAGATTTTGATTTGAGACAGACACTATGATGTTTTATGATACACGATTATGATTTTACTTATGATTCTGGATGGTTGATGGTTTTAATAATGTTTTAAAAACGAAATTTGTGGGTTGTATTTTTGGGATGTTACAACAAAATACTACAAAACTATAGAGTAAATAAATTTATAAAACAAAAAAGTTAAAATAAAAAATTGAAAAAAAAACTCGTATGAATGTAGTCAAAGTCAAAGCTCAAATGCAATTTAAGAGTGATAGCCATATGCATTAACTCTAGTCACATGCATTAACTCTTTGTTAGGGAATCTTTTCAAAAGTTGTTAAAAAAACAAAATAATGGTCCCTACTTTCTAATACATATGCACGGATTCACCAACTGGTTCACCAACCCATTTGAAGATTGTGAAGCCACGAACCCGCTGAAACAAATGGTTGAGTTATCATTTTCGGGAGTTACCTCCGGTACCACCCTTACCTTTTTCCACGATTCCGTCCTGTGGCGAGGTTACGTTGGTTGAAGGTAGGTCACTTGACCTACCTTTATATATATATATATATATATATATATATATATATATATATAATAGCTTATATATAATTAAAAAATATGACCTATCTAAAAAAAATTAAGTGAACTACCTGATATTATTGGAAAAAGATATTCAGAATCAAAATTTTAAAGCCTATAGATACTTTCAAAGCTCAAAAAGTTTAGATATAATATATAGCCCAATATAATATTAAATAAAAAACAAAACAGAAAATAAAATAAATCGCGAGTGACTACTTAGGGGGCAGCGGCTCAATAGGAACTCCTAGGGTAAGGGCAAGACTCTAATTCCATCGATTAATTAGTCGACAAAGATCTAGAATTCATAATTCACAAATCACAATTCCATTGAATGTAACTTTTTTCTTTCTTTCTTTCTCTCTTTATTTATTATTTTTTAACTTATTGCTTCATTGGATCATTGTTTCTATATTCTAATATAATTGATATTAAATATTTGTTAATAATAAGTTGTGAATATGAGAATATCGATTCCAGGGTAGGGGGGGTTTCGCTAATAGTGACTACTGAAGGGTGATTTGTTAATTGTTCAATAATTGAACAACATAAATTTTGATTGTTCCATGATTGTATATTATGTGTTTTTTATTTGTTTCGATATGAATTAATTCTTTGATCGTAGTTCATTTGTTTGATTATTTGATATTTCGATTGTTGTTTGTAAATTAAAAGTAGATTATAACCCGCGTTAAACGCGGGGAGCGTATAAAAAACATAGAATTATAAACATATATTACATCATAGGAAGCATGACAATTAAAAGTACATTACCATAGCTATTTTAAATTCATTATCATACATTACAATAGCTATTTTAACCCCATAACAACTAAAAGAATAAATAAAAAAACTAATAAATCATAGAGTAATATAAAATATTTAAATAGTTCATTACAAAAAACAACTATGTTCGAATGCAAATTAAAATATATATAATCACTAATATCTACTTGGCATAGTCACTTTATCAAAATCAGAACGGATTGAAAAAACTTGTTGAGAAGGATGTGCCGGAACCACATACTCAATCGTATTTCCTTTAAAGAAATATAGGGTACTGTTTCTATAATCCCACCATTCATGTGCACCTTCATTGTAGTTACTAACATCTACTTTAACCCACCGATTTTGAATGAAAACCCAAATAGCCCACAAATTATCTCCACTTACAGAGAAATATCCCAATTTTCCGTGAAACTTGATCAGTCTCGATGCATACGGTCTGAAGTCATTAATAATAGAAGGTGTAAATATGAGTATATGTTCTTCTGAATAAATATCAAATCGCAATATGGTATCATTAGATAATAAGAAGTAAACGACACCGCCACTTGTAACTGCTTCATGAGAAACAGGATAAACAGATGATGGTAACTGGATATTTTGAAACTCCCTCCATTGCCATGTAGCAGATGGATAAATTTCGTTATTACCATCCTAAAAAAAAGAACGTTTATAAAAATAGATATACAAAATAATAAAGTTGTTTTATGTAAATGAAGTTAATATATATAACCTCATGAAACTGATGAACCAACTCTTGTGCGTTTTTTTTATAAGTTTCTTTGCGTCAGAATCATATAAAGTAAGTGAGACCGAACCGGTAATATCTTCAACTATAATGGTGATTTTAAAACTGAAAGCATTGATGTAAACAGATTTAGTAATATAAATTTATATAATTTAACAAAACAATATAATAATATTTATAAAATAAGTTTCAAAACCTGGGAACAACAGAAATGACTTTGTTCATGCAGTTTGAAGTGTTACAATAAAAAACTTCTTTATCTTGAAAGATAAAAAAGTGTAAAAAAAAGTATTAAAAATAGAAAAAAATAATACTGTTAATTAAAGTTTAATAAAATAGAAATAAAATTTAAAGATAAAGTATCAACAAATTTAATAACATAGAAATAAAAGAGAAGAACTGAAATCGATAAACATCCATATTTTTCTGCCAGGAAATATTCAGTAAAGTCCAACCTATTATCTCATTATATACAAAAAAAAACATTTTATTATTATTAATTTTGTTAAAAAAAACCAACCTATTTTGTTTTATCGTTTAAAAGAAACAAAGTTACAGGTATCCAAACAATGTGACCGGCTGATTATATGACCTGACACAATTAATAATATGAAGAAACCGACATATTTAATTGATTATTAAAACTAATAAAGCTATATAACATATTTCATTACATAGAATAAATTCCAGTGAAGGATCAGGAACCAAAATCACAAGATTTTGAATAATTGTAAATTTATCAGATTGATAAAAAAAGAAAGGAATAATAAGAGATTTCATTAAATAGACTAAAGTTTATTATTAAAAATAATAAAGTTGATTATTAAAATTATATGAATAAAAGTAAAAAAGCATAACATAAATCGAATTTAAAATTTCTTTAATAGAAATAACATAAGAATTTAACAATCTAAAAAATAAAGTGTGTAAAAACAGTACCTCCTGGTCAATTAAAATCATGTCTAGGCTTGCGACCATATTAGGATTGTTTATATAGGTCGGCTTCCAAAGCATGACGACTTTAACACGTATGTTCCAAGACTCTTTGGATGCATTGATTTCAGCAACCTTATCAAAGACGACCTGATCTGCATTGTTAGCTGTCATGGAATACTATTTTAATGAACAATAATTGTATGTGAGCTAGAAAGTCAAATTCTGACTTTTGTAATGGATGTTAAGTTGTTAATTTTGAAGGATAATTTAGGAAATAGGACTCAGATTTATAAACTTTTATTTTCATTTGAAAATTGCGACTTTAATTTAACATAAAGAAAAAACAAAACAAAAGGTTTCGACATATTTTATAACACAACAAAATTTGGATATGCTAACTCAAAGCAATATTTGTAAATACATTATTTTCACGCAATTTAGCCCACTTTAAGTATTAATATTATAAGATTCTCTTATAGATATCATCCGACTTTTGCTGCTCCAAAGTTTCTGATTCATTCTGTAAAAAAGAAACTTCTGTCATGATGAAGTAATGAACACTTCATAAAAAAAGTAACCATATGATTATATGAACAATATCTTAATACTTAATACCATTTTGATCTGCTCATGCTCAGTGATAATATTTTTGACTTTCTTGTTGGCATTCTCTAGCAAATTTGTAAGATCTAATCAAGAAGCAAAGTTAGCATATGTCAAAGTAGATATTGTCTGAAGCAGTTCAGATGAAAAATAAAGGACGAATGATTCAAGCATATAATCATTAGTACATGAGACACTTTAGAAATTAAATGCATGACTACTATTGATCAGCTCTTTGAAATACCTGCACTTATATTCTCAAATGCAGGACTACTATTGATCGGTTATCCTCTTGTCTGACTCATGGTACACCTGTAGTAAAGGAAGAAAAATAATTAAAAAAATAATAATAATAACAAAAAAAAGGGAACACAGAACCTTCCCATTCTATCATCTGATCCAAGAAAATTCATATCAATCCTCTTTCTAGCCATTCCAAAGAGAAACATTCCATTACCTGTAATTTGTAATTTTGAATTAAAAATGAATGTAAAAAAGAAAATTGTAGAACGTCAACGAAAAAGTCAATATCACTTACAATATCAACAAAGAAAGGTCGATCTGGATCAGCATAAATTGTGTGCCAAATTTTCACCTATAAGGGTATCCCTGCAGTCAATAAAAGGTGATCAACAAATTAAAAAAGTTGACTAATTTTTTTTTTTTTTTTTAAAAAAAGGATTTTTTTAAAAAAGGAAGAAAAAACAATCAGAGAAGGAGTAAACTAAGTACTAACCTGTGTATATGTGATTCTCCATCGTTTCAGAACAAACTCAACACCTTCTTTCAGTGTTGCTCTTCTTTCTTCTTTATTGTTCCAAAGCTCAGCCAATGGATATCTGCCACTTCGATTGTACTCATTGAGCTCTTTTAGGGCTTTCACAACCGCATTGGATCCCTGAGATGACCTTCCCATAAAGATATAAACTTGGTTGTATCCTCTTCACTTAAACAACATCGTTTAGGAGCATCCATCAAAGGGTTTGCATCAAGCTCACCAATTCTTGTCACGCTAATTGTAGAACAATATCCACGAACATGATTATCTTCAAAACCCTGTTTGTTGTAAGAGGGGTAAAAAGGTAATTAGAAGATAAATATAGCAGCATCCATATGATTATATGAAACCTTCACTGTATTCTCTACTCTGGGGCAATACGGACATTTATACACCTTTTCTGAAACCTTCATTTTGACATTTATACACCTTTTCAAGTGAACCCATATTTAGCTCAACTGTATCAAATCCCAGCTGCTTACATTCCTGTTATGGTATACAATACAATTTATTAGGGTAGAATTGGAAGTCAAGAAATTCATGAAATGTGATTTGACATTTTGTGAGTTGTGACAATAGCTAATTACCTGTATATACTCTTCTTCAAGAAGATGAACCTTTTTGAAGCAGATATTCGGCCCAATCACCTGTACTAACATATATATCATGTTCATGGGCTAATTTTGTTGATTCTTTAATGAAAACTCAGGAATATCTTATTACTTCATGAGACACTTTAGAAATTAAATAATAAATACCTCTGTTAAAGTTGTCAATGATGATTTCATTCTGTTGAATAACAAAAGCCATATCAGAATCAATCCAGCTTATAAGTTCTTGACTTCTTTTGCTTGTTTCTTGTAAGAGAGTTTCCAAGCCCAATTGAGGATCCCTGGTTCTTTTAAAGGTTGATTCAGAAGGCAACCAACCACAGACGCCTCCAAGGGCAGAATCGGAGAGCGGTCTTTACAGCGAAGCCATCTGATGTAGAACACATAGGATCGAAAATCGTTGATGGTCGACGCAGTGCCCCTCAGGGCTTCCTGGGGTTACGCATAGGATCGATTCCATATCAGCAGAAGTAGAACACATAGGATCGATTCCATGTATATATGAAATCAATGGGGTTACGCATATCGGCAGAAGGAAGGGGTTAGGGTTCATATCTATTGAGTTTCATGGGGATGTCGATAGCTCTTGGCTGATTGTGTTGATTGTGTGGAGAGAAAACCTAAGAATGAAATTAGGAATGAATCGTAAGAAGGAAGTTTTATTCGGGAGGCGCGTGTATTTTTTTTTGAGTTAGGATGATGTTAGCAAAATGATCCTAAGGTGGAGACTAAAGGAGGGAAATGCAATCAAGGGCCCTTGTTTCTTCATTGTAGAATTTAAGGTTCTCTTTTAATAATATTTAGAGATTTGTGAAATAAGAAATCTCATAACTAATGAAATAAGAAATATCACACCAAAAACAAAATCATCGTTTCATCGATAATACCTTATTTCTTTGTTTTTTATTGTTGATTTTTGACTTGCTGCTTGTTTATGAAATTAGAAAAAAAATGTCTTTCTTCAACTTTTTTTTAAAGAATGATTAAAAAATAGTAGAAAAAATAATGAGGAAAATAAGCATATAAGAGTTGATTTAAATTCACCATGTGAAATTATTAAAATCTATATCAATATATAAGACCACATCCCGGTACAATTATAAGAAATTCAAATCTTTTTTTGCTTATACGATTCGACTCGATCCGGACGCACAATTATTTTTTTATCGGTTTCATTTAAAAAGTGAACCATGTGATTTTACGTTCTAGACTCGCCACTGATTCCGTCTTGCCTTACGTAACTTAAATGTACAAAATGATATTCTTGTTTGAAAAGATTTAAACACTTCTTTAGAGTTTTTAAAAGATTTTATCATACTAATCAATTATTTATGTTGACTTATATTAATTTTTGAGTTTATTAAAAATGGTCACGATAGGGATGGTTTTCAAGAATCTCATTACTTGTTTTGGCAAAATAATTTTTTGCCTAACTTATGTGATATGCCAGTAAAAATTGTTGTATGCATTGTTTTATCTATCACAAATTACAAAATGTTGAATCTTAATAACTCAAATGGTTAATTATGAATGAACTTTCATAGAGACGATAAATGATATCTAGAAAATCCATATTGTCATTGTCAAATATCGTACACAAGTTGTTTTATGACTTTATCTCAAACTCTAAACATGTCATTTTATAACAGCCGAACTACGTTGTACATATATATGTATTTTTTTTTTCTATCTTTAATGTTTGTATTTTTATCATTAAAAAACATCTCCAAAATATTGTAAATGATTATTGGTTAAAAATCCAATAGGATTAGGGTCAAACATTTCAATTGTGGTACAAACAAACGATTATATATTTAGATATTTGGAAATTTAATCATATCATATCATAATATATTATAAAGAAACATTTATACTTTCATCTCATGTATTTGACACACAAAACCTTTCAACTTTCAAAATTATATATGTTATTAAATATAATGTATTATCATATTAATGGTAAAAATTTTAGAAATTCAAAATAATATACTAATTTGTTAATTTAAATATAACGTTAAATAAAAAAACCTACATCAAAATATCAAATAAAGTTAAAAATATTTAAAGATTATTTTCCAAAATATCTAAAAAGCTTAAAATGTTTAAATATAAATATGAATTAACACTTCATTTGGAGCTCCACAAAATTTCATATCCTTTTTAATAGCGATTCTAAATAGATTATTTAATATAAAATCAGTGTCAAAAAAATAAAAAATTATACATAGACTTTAGTCTTCAATAACTTTCTACTGAGATGTTTACTAAATTAATAATTAATTAATAATAATAATGAATGAACATAAAATAATAAATTAAGTAATCTAACCATTATAAATAAAATTTCAAATAAAATAACCATTTTTTTTTCATTTTTTGGAAAATAATCAATTTCTCCCAAATGCTCCTATGGACTACTATTCCGGTCTTCTTCTTTAAAAAAAAAATCAAAGAAATCTCTCCACTTATATCTGAAATATCTATTTCGAAATGTCTAAATGAACACTTACTCCAAAATGCTCCATTCTAGACTTGATCTTTAAATTTCAGAATGTTTTTTTAGTTTTTTTTTTCCAATTTTGTTTGAAAGAAATATCTTATTTATGTTCGAAATATCCATTTCGAAGTGTTTAATATCATCGTTTTTCAATAATGTCTGATCACATGCACTGATATCGTATATAATTCATATTTACCATGTTTGTTTATTTTTTGATAGGTTTAAATAAAAAAACATTTTTTTTTTAAATTCCAGAATTATTCATCGAATTTCAAAACTTGTTTAATATATTTGTAAGTTGTTATCTCTGCTTTGTATCCACAAACAACATACAATAGATAAAAAGAATATTATATTCACTGCTTTTGGGTCTTTACTTACATGTTAGTTCAAATACGATGATACAAGAGTTTATTGCTATTCATAATTAATCAAACTCGTGATTGAAAACAAAAGACCTAAAAGTAGGGGTGACAACTCTCGACTCAATCCGTAACTTGACACTGACTCAACCCGAAAATAAACGGGTGTGAGTTGAGATATTTGACCCGCCAACCTGTTTATTTCATGGGTTGGGTTGGATTACTGGTCTGGGTTCGCGGGTCAACCCGCTAACCCGTATATATATATATATATATATATATATATATATATATATATATATATATATATATATATATATATATATATATATACACACACACATTACATTTTAAAAAATAGATATATTTAATTATTAATGAAATTTGATTTCCTTCCGTATTCGTAATATTTCGTATCATTGTATTCCTTTCGTATTCGTATAATCGTGTGACTAGTTTTTTGCGGTACCCTAAGAAAACACTTAAACCCACATACTTACGAATCATGAACGAAGAACGTATCCACCAGGCCACCATTGCCCGACGACCGCTCCTTATGTCCTCACCCTGTCACTTGCTCACTGATTCGCCAATCACCTACAACCCACCTGACGTCTACTCGTCGGCTACTCAGCTCGCACTGTCGTACACCACCAAATGACGGGAGAAAAGTCGGAAAACACACAGATCGACCAATCTCTCTGTCACTCGCTCCTGCTCCGACCCTAAATTGACCCACCTCCGTCGACTGGTAATTAACAATGCATCGACTACCATATACCCACTATGAAAATTCTTCCTAAATAGGTAAATCCCCACTGTGAATATGAAATTGAACTTTTTGTTGATCATGAAGAAGTTGGTGTTGGAGGAAGAAGTGAGACTTCTAGCATGAATGAATTATCGAATTGGTTTTTGGATATTTTTGAACAATTTCACTTTGTATGAATGTTTTTATTTTTCAATTTTATTTCGATGTGAATGACTTTATGACTTTAGTTGAAAACCTCTTTTTTTGATGTTAATGACTTTATGTTGAAAAAACCCTATTTTTTAAAAATGTGTTGCTTTTCTTATTAAATGGGTTATACGGGTTGGGTTCGACCTACTAACCTGTGAACCCGTGAACCTATATATCTCTATTATAATAAATGAATAGTTTTAATCTCCTTTTGTTAAATGACACTCTAATACAACTCTTCATTAATATCATGTCATGTGTTATATAGATATATCAGACAACTCATTTCAAAATTCAAATTTACATTTTCTAATTATATGTTAAATTTGAAGTTATAATAACTTTAAAATTTTGATATATCTCTTAATTAATAATTTATTTAAAATAACTGATTAATAATTATAATTTTTTATTATAAAAGTTTAATTAATTTTATAGCCGTGGTTTACACGGGTTATAAACTAGTATATATATATATATATATATATATATATATATATATATATATATATATATATATATCTATATATATATATATTGGGAAAAGTAAATATACCCTTAAGGGTATATAAGCTTAGGTACCCAAACTCACTATACTACGTCGTTGATATAATACATTCTAATTGTCCAATGTTCTTATAATTTAACTTCTAACTTGATTTACTTCCAAGATTTTTATAAATTACACATTTATCTTCCTCTTACATAATTTTCACTTTCAACTACAATATATATAGCTGAGTAGGTGTTCGACAAAAAGATGTGATGTAAGAGAAAGATAATAGTGAAATTTCAAAATTTTTGAAAGTAAATCAAGTTAGGGGTTGGATTTTAAGAACATTATAATGAATATATCAAACAAAACGACATATTATGGTGTGTTTGGATACCTAAGTTTATATACCCTTAAGGGTATATTCACTTTTCCTATATATATATATATATATATATATATATATATATATATATATATATATATATATATATATATATATATGGGGAAGGGTTATTTGGAAAACAAAAAAACCCTAAAAATCATAAAAATGCATAAAAAAAATACTTAGAGATCACAAAACTTTTTTTTGAATTTTTTTATGAAAAAAATCGCAACTTTTTTAATAAAATCGCTGAAAAAAAAAAATAAAAAATCAATTTTTTTTTGTTTTATAAAAAAAAGGTTTTTTTTCAAAAAAAATTTCAGCGATTTTGTATTAAAAACAGCAATTTTTTCATAAAAAAAATTCAAAAAAAAGTTTTGTGATCTCTAAGTATTTTTTTTATGCATTTTTATGATTTTTAGAGTTTTTTGTTTTCCATAGAACCTAAACTTATATATATAAATGGGTTATATGGGTTGGGTTGAGGTTTTCAACCCGTCAACCCATGACCTGCCAACCCATATATTATATGGGTTGGGTTGAGTTTATGTTTTTTGACCCGTTAATCCGAACAGAACCTAAGCCGATTGTGAGGCCTACCTAAAAGTATATAGAGGGTAAAATGTAATTTAATAAAAGTATTCGGACTAAAATGCACATAAGCCTTTCTAGTACATACCACGGAACTCTATCAGTGAGCTCATCTATTTGTCCACGACATAATAAAAGTTCTCTTGTTCCCAATTCTTTCAAATGTATGCGAATCTAGGGTTTCAGATTTCGGTTTAGCGCTTCAATTTCAGTTGAAATTTACCTAAGAAACGACAAATTAAGGTTAGTCCATGATCAAATGAACAACTTGATTACATTGTTATGTCACGCGCTTTAGATCTGATAACAAAAAAACGTCCGTCACTGTTCTCTTACTGATCGGAATTCGTTCGTTCTTTTGAGTCACTCTTGAGCTGATTCAAAATGTTGTTCTGTTCTTTGAATTTTTCAATATACCCTCCGTTAAATCAGAATAGATTTGGATCCTTATACCAACTTAACATCAATTTTTATTAGTTTGCATTGTTTTTCTTTGTAAGATTTAGTGAAGTTATCTGATTTCTTCATGAGTCGTAAACAGTGGTCATCAATTCTGAACTTGAAATTAGTCGATTATACCTCAAATAAAAAATGCACCTCTTGTGTTTGAATGATGTGCGCACTTGATTTCTTCATGAGTCGTAAACAGTGGTCACCATCTGCCTGTTTGTAGCACTTACATGACTTACTTGAATTATAAAAAACTGGTTTTGTGTTGATATTTGAAGATCCTTTTTTGAGAACCGACTTCTTACTTGCATTCTCCACTGCTATATTATAGTTTTCTGAACATTTTACATTTGAGTACTTTTGTTGCCTAGTGTTCAATATGGAGCCGAGACACAAGCAGAAATCCTGGTTTAGCCAAGTGCTTCAGAAGCAAAGCCCTGTCTTCTTAACCTTATGCACCTAATTTCTCTCTCCAACAGTTCAGATATTTCACTCTGTTCTCTCGTGTGTTCGTTCCATTCGCGCTAAAATCCAATCATGGTGATGACCAGGACGGGACCTTCTTCCCAAGAAGTCTCAATGCATGTGGGTTCCTGCAATCTTAAGGCAGACCTTGACCTTGAAAAGTTTGACCCTATGCTCCATATAATGATTGAGTTTCTAAAAAGTCACCCTATTCACAAACCCTTGACTAAATCAATCGAGTTTCCTTTAAGCATCATTCATAAGGCATACTCCACTGCCGTCTATAACTCTGAGGAAGAGTACATTGAGTTCAACATCAATGAAGATAAGACCACCAAACTGTCTAAGGTTGAGTTCCTGAAGGCTATTGGCCTTCCAGAGAGCAAGGAAAAAAAGACGTTATATGAACCCACAAATGAAGAACTCTTCGACATATTAGATCAAATGGGGTATTTACCTCCAAAGCTTGAGTCAACCTCAAACTTCAGGAAAGGCAAGCTTCCAGGCATGTGGCATTTTTTGTTTCACATCATTCTGCGGTGCCTCTCAGGAAGGGTTGCAGGAATTGACATGCTAAGTAGGCAGCTTCATGTACTTATTTGTGGTATGTACACTGGGAAGGAAGTGGACTTTGGAACCACTATCTGGAATGATTTTACTAGTTATGTGTTTCCAAAGAAGAAGGCAATTCCTTGTGCAAGGTTTTGGGCACTTGCACTCCAAAGGGTGTATAACAAGCTGAAGATCCCATTACCTAAAGAAGAGGAGATGTTCACTCCTCGTACCTTATCCAGGCATACTATCCCAAATCAGTCTGCATTTGGGAAGGTTGCTCGTCTCCCCGAAGCAATGCTTCAATATATTGAAAAGAACTCCAAAGTTCTCATCAGACATATAAAGGAAACGGATCCTCCAGAAGCTGAACGCCCTACCCAATCCTCACAACATACTTCCAGTCCTACAAAACAAAAGAAAAATGCCTTGAAAGTAAAGAAGACTACTGGTAAAAGAAAAGGTGAGACCATTCCTTCCCCTCAAGCCAAAAGACAACCCACAAAATCTCAAAAGGCGAAGGATGTTGAAAAAAGATCTACCGTTGGGTCACAGTCATCTACCTCTTCATCCTCTCAAGAAGATGATGTCTCTCAAAAGTATTGGAATATAACACATACACAACCCCCTTCCTCTCAAAAGGAAGATGTGGGTGCTGAAAAAAGTCATGAGCAGCCCCCAGGGACACACTCAAATATCAATCATGAGCCTATAAAGACAAGTTCTTCTTCTTTCCACACTACACCACCTGAGGCCTTAATCCCAGGCCAAGAGTCTAATGGTGAGGCAGAGGTGAGAACATCAGAGAGTGAGAGTGTAAGGCAAACTCGAGATGATTCAACGAAGGAAACACGAGATGAACAGGAGAGGCAAAGTGAAAGAGCTGAGAAAGAGGGAAATGCTCAGATAGACTTGAATGAGGAAATGTTAAAAGAGAAGAGACTGAGAGATGAGAAGACAAAAGAAGAATTGATGAAACTGAAAGCTGAGGAAGAAGGGAGAAGGATTAGAAAAGAGCTTATTCAGAGGCTTGTGAAAGAGACGAAGAGGAAGGAGGATGAGCTTAAAGCTGAGAAGCAGAGAGAGCAAGAGGAAAGAGAGAAAAACGAAGCTCTACCAAGCAATGATGAGATGAAGAAAGCTGCTGAGAAAGAACAAATTGCCACCAAGCAATTGCAACAGGTTCTTAGTGAATTAAGAGAGGCTGAGGAAAAGAAAGAAGAGGAGCAAAAGGAATTAGTGAGAATGTTGCGTGAGGAGCAACAAAAGAGTGAAGAGGAAGAGAGGGTCCAGACCACGGATAAACTTATTGATCTTGCCATCTGTTGTGAGGAGTCTTTGGACCCATTCACAAAGACTGGTATGGAGTCTGCTCAAGACATGGAAAAGGACTTTGTGTTTACTGCTGATGATGGACTCATCCAAGACTCTGATTCACACTCCATTATGGAGACACTCAAACCCTCCAAATCTATTATTTTCTTGGGATCTTCAGAAACAGAAAGTCAGGAAGTTCCCAAAGGAGACACCAACACTCTTCCAACCACCACTGTCAGACGCACTAAATTGAAGAAGAAAAAGTCCAAATATGTCTCCAGGGTGGAATTTAATTCCCTCAACCAGAAGTTGTCTGAGGTTCTTGAGCTTGTAAACAAGATCCCTCCATCTAAGGAGAAATTTGTGAGCAAGGAAGACTTCCGGGAAATGCAGAAAGTTGTGACATCCTTAGCCCAAAGGGTTCCTAATCTTGAGACAAGGGAAAAGATGCTTCGGGAATCAGTCGTCAAATCTACTGCAGATGCTCTGAAGAACATGGAGCAGAAGAGGACTGATGACACATTTAAGTATTTGGATCGGATGGATGTGATGGTGAAAATGGTGAAGGAAATTCAACAGTCGTATGATGACCTCACCAACACCTTGGGCCACCAACATGGAGATGAGATTGTCCGTTTAAGTGAGCAGCTCTGTGACTATCGCAACAAAAATATTATTCTTCAGGCTGTTTTGGTTAAAGTAATACAGTCTGCACAACAACTGCTAAGACCCCGCAATGTAAGATTTGATGAAATCCTATTTGCCATCCAGAAAATTCAAAATTCTGTGGATGTACTTCCAAAGACTCTATCCAATGAAGAGCTAAGCAAACAGGTTCCACAATCGTTTCAAAAAGTGTTTGACCTGATAGAGAACTTAAAAGGTTCAAAATCCGTGGATGAAGCTGGACAAGATGAAAATGTGGTGATAACAGAAACTTCTCATTCTCCCAAGATAGATGAGGTATCCAGACCTCGACCACCTCCTCCACCTCCAAAGACCACAATTCCTCCACCATCTCCTCCCACTTCATTTGTCATGCCTCCTACCCAACTAGCTCCGATGATCCCTGAAACCCACAAAGCTTCCATTAAAGGTAAAGGCAAAAGGCCTTTGGAGGTTCCTGAAGTGAGTCGGAATCAGATGAAGACCTTTCGAGTGTCTGAGGAAGAAAAGAAGCAACAAGAGCTGGAAAACGAACTCCTTGCCAAGCAGAAACATGAGGTGGCAACAGCACATTCCTTTCAGGCGAACTCAAGTAAGGAGGAGCAACAGGCTTTATCTCCTTTGGTCTATGTTATCAGACAATTGAGGGATGATGAACTCGTGCCCAAACAAACTACAGCTCCTCCCTCCTCCGATGAGTATCAGTGGGATATACCCATGTCTCCAAATGCACGATATTATTCAGTCTTCCAACCACTACATCCACACCTCTCAAGTGAAATGCAAATCTTAATTGAGTTGAACCGACTAGAGGAGTTTTTCAAGGCTCATGCTCAGCCCCCAAAAGATGTATGGTCTCTCCGGAGGATCATAAGAGTCGTGGGATACAAGAAGAAGTCTTTTAAGAAGGAAGAGTACTTCAGTTTTGAAGTGGTGCGAAGTGATAACAAAAAATATTTCTTCTCCGAAGCCGATTTTCCTAACCTCAATCCTAACGACCTATACGTGATTGGCAAACACTTCCAGACCAAACTCCTCACTCATGAACCTTACAGATTTCCCTTTCTCCAAATCCAGAGATTTCTAAGGTCTTTGGTCTATGATCTTAGCAGCATTGATGCAGAACAATTTGATAGCTTTGTGGATAATCCACCCGAAGAGATGAACCAAGATCTGGAAGGAATTGAGAACAGACATCGAGGACCTACTGAGGATCCTGAACTAGGGATCATCTTCTCTAATGAAAAGGGTAGTCCGAGGCTCTTTTTTCGATTAAAACAGAAGCATCGCTGCAAAACGGAGTTCCTTGAAAAGATGATCAATCTTACCTTAAGGTCCAATGCATCTGCAGCTATAAAGGTGAAGATCATTGAAGAACTAGAGTGGTGGGTAGCAGTTCGTAAGTGGATCAAGAGAGCAACAGACCTCGTGAAAAACAAGATCTGAACATGAATGTCTTTTTTGCATTGAACACACTCGATATATGCATCTTCTCAGTAAGTAATTTCAAACCTCATTTCCTTGACTTTCTGTATTAAGCCGTTCTATGTGCATCAACTCAAAAATCAGGAATAATATTACTAAAACAATAAAAAATAGTATGGTCCTCTTAACAAAGTGACTGGCTTTTTTTTTCCCTTTAAATAAAATTACCATCAAATTTGGCAAATAGGGTTGATTAAGAATTGTAAATTGCTTTATGAATGGTCCCCTAAGAACTACAAATCTTTAAAAAATAACCAAGTGTTACATACATTTTTGGTCCCCCGAGTATAGTTTAGCTGATTTTTGCAATTTATGTTGAAAAAGTTATCTTTGCAATTTTTGGTCCTTATTTAAGGTTCTTCCTTTATTGTAACGTTTTTGGTCCCAAAAATAATGTCGTTTTACTTGGAATAGAGTTGCATAAACCTCAAATAAGTACCAAAACTGCAAGAGATCTTTTTGACTAAATATGAAAGAACCAGCTGTGCTCAGGGACCAATAATGTAAATTACTCGATAAGTAAATAATTAAAAAAAAAATTGTAACTATATGGCAAATGGTTCACATTTTCAAAAAATAAAAAGTAAAAATTAAAGCTTTTTGCAACCTTTGTCGGTAAAAGTAATTTTGCAATTGGCCCATTGTGGAGTTGGTGGTACTTTTGTTAAAACTTAAAAGGTTAAAATGGTGGTCAGTTTGTTGAATGAGACCCAACAATTGTGGTCATTTGTTGTTATTATCTTAAAAAATAAACACCAATATATATTATATAGCTTCTCAGATTAGATCTGTTTCTGAAATTGTTGTGTAGGCCAAGATTGGAAGGTATTCAACATCAGATGGCAAGTAGGAAGTGTACAGGTTCTTGTTGGATGAGAACAGAATTATTGTACTAGATAAAGTAGATGGTGGTAACCTGCTTACTAGTTTTAGTGTTTTTTAGTATTTATGTAAACTATTTCAATAGATTGTTGCCTCATATTTCTACTGCAAAGCTGTAACATTCTTTGAAAAGATTTTTTTTTTTTTTTTTTGTTGTGTGAATCATGGGTTGGGGTGTTTTGGGGTGAGTTCTTTTGGTTATAGCTGAAGGTGTTCCTGAATCTGATACCAAAGACTTGATTTCCTATGCAAGGTCAAACAACAATGTAATTACGATAATACCCTTACATGGCTACTTGCCTTGCAACTTTAATCTTAATTAAAACAACCGATGGTTGTTATTACATTGAGAACTTTACGCAATGCAAATTGTACAGCCCTGGATTCTGTTGGATTTGTCTTCAAATACATCACAATAACAATAATAATTGAGTTGTATATATTTCTCAAGGGGATGTTTCTTTTTGACTTGATTGATACAATACTATAATGGATTAAGCACCTAATCTGGAAAGCTATGCATGTGGTGGCTGTGTTGTGGGGCACCTTGACTTTGTTTTTGAGGTGAATTCTTTATCTTTTCTTACTTACATCCCAACCCAATTCTGCTATTAGTTGTAACATCTAAATCTATTCCTTTAATGTTATGCACACAGGTTTCCCATAGCGAATTTTAACTTTTTTTAACATGTTATTATGCTACTTAACCTACCAAAACTGTCATGTTTGCTAAAAAAAAGATTTAGACGTGTGCAAGAATTTGTGAGGTTTTTATTTAATGCTATTCGATTATTTATGTTGACAAACAGTCATTCTTAGAGTTTATTTTAGAATTAATTGGTCATGATGGGATGAATTGTTGGTAACCCTGGTTTATCATCATTTCTCAGTTGTTTTGGTAAATTTTCCCAACTTAAGTTATATGCGAGTGAAAAATCCTTGTATGTGTCATCATACTACAAAATGTTGAATTCCAGTAAACAACATGTAACTTAGATACTCAATAGCCCATTACGGAAACTGAGTGAGTAGCAATGAGCTCCCATGGAGGCAAGAAATGACATCTGGATATCCTCATTTTTCCATTGTCAAACCTCGCACACATTATGAAAACTATTTTGTATTTAGGTATTTGGAAAATTTTATGAGGTTGTATATTATTCTCTGCATCTACAAACAAAATGATACACAAAAAGTTAAAAGAAAATGGTATTCACTATTTTTGGGTTTTCACCAACATGTTTGCTCAAATAAGATTATTTAAGACGATAATGTGATTCATAATTGATCCAACTCTTGATTGATAATACGAGGCGTGTAAGTATAGAGGCTAAAATGTAAATTAATAAAAGTATATGGACTAATATGCGCATAACCCTTTCTAATACATACTTGTACCAGTGAGCTCATGCTCATCTATTTGTCCGTTCATAGATTTGTTCTTCGTGTTCCCCAATTCTTTTAAATGTTTGCGAATCTAGGGTTTCAGCTTTCCACCTGGCGCTTCAATTTCAGTTAAAATTTACCTGAGAAACGACAAAATAAGGTTAGTTCATGATGAATTTCAATAACATTGATTATAGTATTATCTCATGCGCTTTAGATTTGATTAAAAAAAACGTCCGTCACTGTTCTCTCACTGATCGCAATTCGTTCGTTCTCTTTGATTTACTTGTGAGCTGAATCTAAATATGTGTTCTGTTCTCTTTGATTTGAATTTTTCGATGTATCCCCCCGTTCAATCAAAAGCGATTTGGATTTTGATACCACACATCAACATTTCTCTTAGCTTGCATTGTATTTCTTTGTAAGATTTAGTGTAGTTATCTGATTTTTCCGAGAATCGTAGACAATGCTGGTCAATTCTGAACTTGAAATTAGTCGATTAAACCTCAAATTAGAAATGTACCTATTGTCAATTGTGTTTGAGAATGATGTGAGCATTCAGTTTACTAATCCAATCGCATTCTGCTTAAGAGAAGAAAATTTCAGTAAAAAGTGTTTGGGTTAAAGATCTAGATCACCGTCTTCCTCTCTATCGCACTTACATGTCTTCCTTGAATTACTACGAACTGTTTTTATTATTAGTTTTTCTAGATCCATTTTGGAATCGACTCTTCAGGTGATTTCTTCTCTATGATGGTTTTCTGTACATTTTACATTTGAGTACTTTTGATGTGCAGTGATTCAATATGAGCCGAGACAGAAGCAGAAGCCCTGGTCTTGCCAAGCGATTCCGAAGCAGAGACAGATCTTCTTATCGTGATGCACCTTACAAAAGAGATAGACCTTCATATCGGTATGATTCTAGATATAAATTTACAAATGTTCATTCATAACTTTTATCCAATAGTTGAATTACAAGTTTTCCTTTTGATAAAAAGGCAAGATTACCTCTGCAACAAATGTAAACGCCCTGGACACTTTGCAAGAGAATGCCCAAATGTAACTGTCTGCAACAACTGTGGACTTCCAGGGTACTAATTCTTTTATAACAACCATCTTTCAGTAATTAAAGATTTTTAAAATATTTCAATTCCTAAAAGGGTTGATGTCATAAAATAACAACCAATAGTATACAATTTGTTCTTTAGGTCACTCATTTAATTGTACTCAGTAGACCAATAAACTTCTTTTTGGGTTCTCCACTTCTCATTACACCATTGGAGTGGATTTCAATCAGATAAACTCATACTGAATCCTATGTGGTGTCCCCTGTGGCTTCCAACATGGCAAATTTCGTTCACTTATGTTCATGTGTGCTGACATGGTATCCATATAGACTTTTTTTTTTTTTTTTTTTTTTTTTTTTTTTATTTATGAATGCTAAAATAATTTTATGACGCTATTTAGGATTCGATACCAGTTTACAGTGTAAAGAGAAACAAAAAAAAATATTGGCTTATTGAATACAATTGAAAGATGAGGGACCTAAAGAGCAAATTGAATACTATTGGTTTTCATTTTATGACATTAACCCATCCTAAAATGTTTATTTGTAGTCATATTGCAGCTGAGTGTACATCAACTACCATGTGTTGGAACTGTAAAAAATCCGGGCACCTCTCGAGTGACTGCCCGAACGACCCGGTCTGCCACATGTGCGGTAAAATCGGACATTTAGCTCGTGATTGTTATAACCCGGGTGTGTCTTCTTATGATGCCCGGCTTTGTAGCAACTGTTACAAACCCGGCCACATTGCTGCTGACTGTACCAATGAGAAGGCGTGTAATAACTGTAGAAAAACCGGTCACCTTGCCCGTGACTGCCCAAATGACCCGGTGTGCAATGTATGTAGCATATCTGGCCATGTGGCACGCCAGTGTCCCAAAGCGGGCGGGTCGAATATGAATGTGGTTAGGTCGGGCGGGTCGTCAATGGTGGATGACCCGTTTAGGGATATGATGTGTAAGAATTGTGGGCGGGCGGGTCATATTAGTCGGGATTGTGTGCCTTTGGTTATTTGTGGGAATTGTGGCGGGCGGGGGCACTTGGAATTTGAGTGCCCGTCTGCCCGGATGTGTGACCCGTTTGATCGGGTCTTTCTTGACCCGCAGTTTCGTAGGTACTGAGTCAACCCTGGTGGGTTTTGACTTTTGACTTGCTTTTTTTTTTTGGGCTAAAAAGGAATTTGGTGAAATGCAAAAGGAAATGAGACAATCACTTGAACTTTGAAGTCATTTTCTATATATTCTATATGTTTTGGGTTTTTTCGCTTCTGAATTTTTTCGGGTGAATTTGTTTTGGTGAGACTATTTTTGTATTCTTTATAGGAGGGTTGTTTTATAGATGGTTAACTTTACCTAGAATCAGTGGGTATGTGAGGTAGTTGTATTTTTTGAACGTAAACTTAAACTCTAGCAGGTTAACTTGAACGTTTACTAGTTAAGATAAAGGTCGGGAAAAAAAAAACTTTTGTTTGACAGCAACTTTTAGCTTTTAGTTTTAACTAATTTGACCCAATTTAAAGCTAACAACTTTTTTTTGCCCTGCATAAATAAAAGTTTCAGCTACTAACAAGTTTTGCCAAACACTATCCTATAATTAGTTTTTAAATAATTAGATTTCAAACGGAGAATAATTTTCGACATAATTTTTTTAAGACAAAATGATAAATTTAAATTTAAAGTCTATACAAACACTAGAATTGGGCAAAGTGATAAATATTATTGGTCCATAATCTATTCTAGGGATTTTTGGCATTATCTATTCTTATAGGTCCATCAGGCTTCCCACTTAAAAATTGATCAATTTAATTTTTAATTGGATTATTGATTTTTTTTAATAAAGAGAATTTGAAATGGTAATCTACCCTAATAAATGAAAATGTTTTTGCCACTTCTGATTTCCCTAAAATTTTTGTCATATGTCATTATGTGAAAATTTTGAATTACTTACCTTTCACATGTTATTATTTTGAATTATTTAAATTTCACATGTTATTATGTGGTATTTTCATTTTTTTGTTAATAAAAAATTAATCAATTCTACTAATTAACACCTCTATTATTATATATATATAATATATATGTAAAGTATTTATTATATTAAATGTGTAGATCAACACTATAATTAATGAAACATTTATTATTTTAGGTAATATATATTTTTCTCCATAAAATAAATAGTTTGTTTTTTTACCACTAAAATCATTTGTTATGATTTTTTTGTTACATAAATTAAAATAATGAAATATTATAAAACAATATTGTCAAAATTAAGATATAATCAAATATATTCTGTTAAACTTTGAGATGACGTAGGCATTAAAAATATTTAATGTTTACACATTGATATAAAATTTTTAACTTTAATAAACGCGTGTAATACACGGGTCTCATACCTAATTGTTAATATATTTATTGGTTTCTTTAGGAACAACTTCACACAAAAGCTACTTCATTCCGTTTTTTAATTGAAAAACACTATTTTATTAATTTTTTAGAAAAATCATTTAACATTTTAGAAATGTTATAATGTAGGCTGTAGCTATCTTTAACATACAAAATCGGTTAACCATAATTTCTTTCTATGTGTATGGCATGGTGGGGCTGTATGCCATTGGGTTAACAGATTAAAGGACTTGTCATATTAAACTATTAAAGTCGAATAATAAAAGAAAAGCAAGAGGGTTTTATTTGTAAACAAATCGTTAGCCAACATAAATACAGAATACAAAAATCAATATTACAATTCTTTTATCAAGTTGACATGTTTTTTTTTAAGCAAACGGGAAACAATAAATAAAATCAGTGGCAAACAACATCAAACTATCAAAGGATATCTGTAATTGCATTATTTTGGTCCAAAAAACGTTGCAAACATTCAATCAATAATTCTTCTTTAATATATTATATTATCACTTTTTATTATGTAGATCTAGTACTGCCTTCATGTATTTATTTATTTATTTGGTAAGTTAAATTTACATATTTTGTGTTTTCACGATAAGTAAACGGAATTATATTATTACACTAACCAAATTAAACTATTATTTGATTAAGTAATTCTGAATTAATTTTTCTAATCATCGAAAACAGATGCTTGGTTATATAACGAAATTACATCTTTGACACATAAAAAGTAAAACCGTATACATCTTGGGGATGTTATTATATATTTTCAAGTGAATGTATAACAATTCTTTTTCCCACAAAACACCATTGTTAGTTAGTTCATAATCAACTAAAACATTATATTAACAATGGAAAATTGTCAGAAAACTCTCAATATTTTCGAAAAAGTTTCACTTTAGTCTTAAACTTTTTTTTTTTAACAGAAAAGTCAATATTATTTGATTTTACACGATAATATGTCATTTCCTATTAAAAGAAAAAAAAATGTTAATTTGAGCCAAAATAAAATAATCAGGACTTTTATGTTAAAAAAAAAATAAAACTAAAGTGAAACTTTTCTGAAAATATTTCGACTTTTCTGATAATTTATCTATTCACAAAATACTAACATTTACTAATGATATGTTTTGAAAAAAAAAAACAGTTATTTATTCCTTTTATATATTTTTTTTTTCTAAAACTATGGTGTTATATATATATATATATATATATATATATATATATATATATATATATCGTTATCTATTTTTGACATTAACCCTATATCTTTTTCCATCAAGAACTAAAAACTCAATCATGTTCATCCTTAATTATGTTGTTATGTAACATAAGTTGAATACACTAGAATTGCATCAATTACAACTTCAAGGTTAACACAAAATCAATTTATTAAAATGTCATAACAATAAAATACAATAATACATAAATCTCAACATTTGCAATCCATATTCCATAAAAAGCACTATAGTTTTTTTGAGTTTTGTTTGACCATCTTAAAAAAAAAATTCTAACTTAACCAATGAGAGTTTGTCTTAAAAAAAATCTACTACAAGGGTTTCTTGTTGATGAATGTCAAAAAACCACCAGAAGAAAATTTTCTGGTTAAAGTTTTCCTAATAAAAAAAGTGTCGGGTTTAACCACCGAACAAATTTCAAACAAAAGTGGATTGTCATAGAATTCAAAGTTTAGTTTTATTTAGTGATGTTTAAAAAAAAAATCAAAATCTCAGTGGTTAAACCGAAAACTTTCCAAACTACAATGGCTTTTATGGAATTTGGCCATTATGAAAACCCTAACAAAAAGATAATGATAGTAATTAGTGTTAAATCAAATTTGGTGTTGTGGTATTCATAAGACTATAGGTGTACATTAGTGCAATAATTCATAGGTCAATTATTGCTGCTTTCAAAGCTAGAATTACACCAGAAACTGAATCAAAATGCATAATCACTAAAAGGAGAACAAAATCTGAAGCAGTTCTTATATATTAAAAACTAGAAAGAAAAAAAATCCAGAATCCGATAGATAAATTGTTGTTATTAGAACAAAGCAATACCTCCACCAGAATACTCAACTTCATGTGCAGGTGGCAAAGAAGAAACCCAATCCGAAGCATGTGTGGGAAGAAGCCCCAAAGTGTTCAACTTCCAGACACCAAGCAACATACCCCCCAAATTAAGAGCAATAAACAGCAACTTAGGGGCATTTAGGTCCACTTTGCTATCTTTATAAGGCTCAAAAACCTTCCCAACTCCCTGAAGAGCACTTAATGGTTGCCAAAGAGCTGAAAATGTTATACCGATGCTAAATAAATGGACTGTACTTCCAGCCATCCACATCATGAACCCCATCATTAGAAGGTTCTTGAAGGGTGCTTGAGCTACCTCCCATGCTTTTTGTGATTTCCAATTTGCTTCAGCATCTTTCTTTTGGCGACTTAATGTGGAATCATCCTGATCATGGGTAGCTCGTGTGAAGCCAGGTGGATCTGGAATGTCTCGGGATGAAGGTGTTGAGGAATTGTCTGTGAATTCAACTGCCCATTTCCGATTTCCCATCACTCCTTTCCCTTTATCCATCTAGTTTCATCAAAAAAACGCAAAATTCATGATAGATGATTAGATGTCATTGAAGATGTATATCAGAACCTAGCACTGATATGAGGTAAAAAGAAGTTGTTCAATTGTTTAACAAAATAGCAAGGAGATCTGTAAACTATGCAAAAACCTGATGTTAACGATCGAATTCTAAATACGAAACCTAGAACTCGATTCAGTGGATAAACAGGTCCTCCATACGTTTTAGATCTAGAAAAAAGAAAAGCTTTTTCAAAATTGAAAACCAATTCAAAACATGCTTTAGCTTTAACGATTGCAAATTGGTAGTTTGAGAACGTAATACACCGATTTTCCACTGACGATTAAACCAATGATAATCGCAATTATAATAAGAAGACGAGAGATATTATATATGAAGATCACGAGATAGCAAGATTGAACATACCAATATCAGCAGAAAGAAAGATCCCGACTTCGAGTTTAAAGTGTGATATTTGATTGACAAAAGGTTGGGAATTGAAACCCTTCGCGTCCTGTGATGCGAGATTGATGGAGAGTTGGATTGGGAACTTTAGTTATAGTCTTATAGGGCTTGTTTGATCGTTGATAATAAGTTTAAAGCATTGGCAAAAATAACCCAAAGTTTAAAGGTTTCTTTCAGTTTAGTGCTAGAATATAGGGGAAATAACATATTAGCCTTACTATGTATTTTGACTTTACCCATTCAGTCCCTAAAGTTTTTTTCGAGCCTTTTAAGGGAACAAACTGTTTTTTGTCGGGTCGATTTGGTCCTTTTGTAAGAATTGAAAGGGTCAGTCGGTTACATCTTTGCCACATAGGCTCTGACTTTGAAAATCTCCACCTCTTTTGACATGACCCATCGTTTCTCCTCCACACCCATGACCCGATTCACCCCTTCCACCACTTGTGTCTTCTTCTTCTTCCTCCTCCCTCCTTATATCATATGAAGTGTATCTTTCTTCCTCACCCAAGTCACAATTTATTCCCTAATTAACAACACAATTTCTTAATTACAGTCAGTGGGTACCAAAATATCACAAAAACCCAGCATTGAAACGAAATCTTATGTGGAAAATCCACCATGTTGAGAAGTACCATTGACGAATATAAGCAATAGAGGTGAGCAAAAACCGCACCGCAACTACAATTAACCGCAAAAACCGCAACCGCAATAAAAACCGATGGTGAGGTTTTCTGTTTTTCAAAAACCGCAAATTTGCGGTGCGGTGCAGTTATTAGTTTTCAAAAACCGCACCGCACCACATATATTATATACAATTTTTTTTATTAATTATTAATATATTAATATATTAAATATTAAAAATAAGACAAGTTTCAAGGATGAAAGAATGATAAAGTTCTAAAAGACAAAAGTGTTGGTTTTTTCTTATGTTTAACTTTGGAAAATGGTGAAATTTGACAATTTTAAGATATTTATTGTTAATTTCTAGTGATTTAACATTTTTAAGATATTAGTTGTTTGTAATTTAAGTTAATTGTTTTATATCTTATGATTTTTTATTATTACAAGTAATATGTTTAAACTCTTAAAATTGTTTGAACTCTAAAATGCAATTAAAAACCACACAAAATAACCGCACCAAATCCATGCGGTTAGTAACTGAAACACAAAAAAACAAAACCGCACCGCAAAAATAACCGCCTAACCGCACCACGCGGTTTTGAAAATGGATTAACCGCATTTGTGGTTAGTGGTGAGGTTTTGGCCAATAACCGCACCGAACCGCACCACGCTCACCCCTAATAAGCAAAGTCGGATACCCTTTGATCACAAGATTTGAAGCTACCTTCGGGTACCTCTCAACATTAATTTTCGTCGTTAAAACGGGGCTCTTTATTTCATTTAAAGAACTAGCAGCCTCTACAAACCTAGGCATGAGTTCAACACTTCTAACGCACCAAGGAGCATAACCCATAACCAAAACGTAATCATTTCCATCAATAACCCTTTGAGTATTATCATTGTTGAGTTCAAGAACTAGAATGGGGTTTTGGAGCAGACATGATCGAGATTTGACCTAAATTCACATGTGGAAAGTTGGTATTGTTCATATCACCCAAGATAAAAACCCTAAAATCGAATGTGTTCTTGATGAAGACGATGAAACTTACCAGCAAGGATCGAAGAGACAACAATACATAATGAACATCTACATCTTCTTTATAAGGATCAAATGTGTTCTTCCTTTTCCCTCCTTTACGGTGAAGAAGCTATGAAAAAAAAACAACATAGCATGGTCGAGGATTTGAGAGACACTTGGAAGAAATGGAAGATTGGACGTCGTTCTTCATGGTACGAATTTATACAGTTTTGAACTTTTTAGGTTGATTTTGGCTTTAAAAGTTAAATTGATGACGTGGATTCAGCCGTGAAACATCCCAAAAAATATAGACCAAAAATTTCGTTTAAAAACTTATAACAAAACCATAAATCATCCATCATCATAAAGAAAATCAAGAATCATGTATCTCAAAACATCATGTCAAATAATGTATCAAAATCATATGAGAAAAATATCAGAGTCTAAACAATCCCATGCTAAAACTGTGGTGTGTGACATGCGATCATCCCGAGCCCTTCCCCTTGCTAGTGGAAGTACCTGAAACCAAAACTGAAAACTGTAAACACGAAGCTTAGTGAGTCTCCCCAACTACCACATACCATACACATAACATATAAGCATATCTTGGGCCCCGCCCCTGCTACATCGAGTCAAGCTCGGCATCGGGCCCCGCCCGGCATCGAACCCTATTCGGCATCGGGCCCCGCCCGGCATCGAGCAAATCTCGGAATACATAAGAGCATAACAACAATACACATAAACCTAAGCACATAACATTAACACTTAAACATTCCTCGGTCCCCGCCCAACATTGGACCGTAATCCGGTAACATACTAACATTCCTCGGGACCGCCCCGACATCAAACTGAAGTTCGGAAACATACAATACAAACACATGCAAGAATCACAAAGACATCGAGCATACAATCGTTCCTCGGGACCGCCCCGACATCGGATCGAAATCCGTAAAAACATGTAAACCTACATCGGACTCCGCCCGGCATCGGACCATAGTCCGGAACTACTACTAACTAAACGGGTTGGCCTTGGTGCCTTAGATCCGTTCCTACTGGAGGAAACTCACCTTGAATGCTAGCTGTGAGATCTCGTATGAGGAATCCCTGACGGCTGCTCCAACGACTCCCCGGCTATCAATTTCACAATAACACTTAATCAGAACCTGATAATACTTCTTATGGTAAAATGACCATTTTACCCCTGGTCAAAGTCAACGTCCTGGTCAAAGTCAAAGTCAAGGTCAACTCCCATTCAACCCAACTCGGCGATTTCCTTAACAACTCAGACTCGTGGTCAACCGAGTCAACTCGTCGAGTCCCTTCCCAGACTCGTCGAGTTCTACCTGTCATAAAATCGGGACACCCGGCTTCAACTCGTCGAGTCCCTTACTGGACTCATCGAGTTCCCCTGTCTGTTTGGGCTATCTTAAAGGATTAAGCCCCTACACTTCAAATCTCAGCTTCATACTTCACAATAACCCTGAAAATGTCCTTTTAAGGGTAACGTTTATGACTTTACCCCTTAATACCCCTTCTTAAAGGGTTTAGCTCAAACCCTAATTCCTTGGGACCTAGAACTTGGTCCTTAAGCCATCCATTCACCAAACTAAGGCTTACAACTTCAGATCTACTCTCATAACACTACTTGAACACGTAAAGTTCCAACCTTTCTCCACATGCATGGCCTTGTGGGGCATAAAAAGCCATAATATCATCCTAAAGGCTTGCATGGGGCTCCAAAGGCATAAGGTTTTCACCTTTATGCCATAGCATCCCTTAATGGTTCCAGATCTGAAAGTAACATTGACTTGGGACGTCCAAGTCTCATAAATCAAGCTTCTTGGACAAAAACCCCATAAAAGTGACCATAAGGAGATCTAAGAAACTACAAGACAAGTTTGAGGCTTGATTACCAGAAAATGATGAGGATGGGACGAAATCTCTGGATCTACTATCTTCTCCTTGAACCTTCTAGCTCCTTCTTCTTCTTCTAGCTTCAAGAGCACACAAAATCACTCACAAAATGCTCTCACACTCACAAAATGATCTAGGGTTTCGTGGATTAGGGTTTGGGACTTGGAGGATGGAAATGAGGCTAAGGGGTGGGGATTAAGATGCTTAAATAAGGTGTAGAACCCCGAAATTAGGGTTTCATTATGGTCGATCTACTCGTCGAGTAGACAGCTTAAACCCCGCGCATAATCTGACATCTACTCGACGAGTTAGGGCCACCAACTCGTCGAGTCCTTCTCTTAAAATGAATCAATAAATATTTAATGCATACCAGGGATCTGGACATTACAATTCTCCCCCACTTGTCTTAGACTTCGCCCTCGAAGTCTACTACATCTGAAAACAACTATGGGTAGTGCTCCCTCATCTCCTCTTCGGGCTCCCAAGTTCACTATGAACACTTGTGGTGCTGCCACTGCACCTTCACTAGTTGAACAACCTTGTTCCTCAAGGTTTTCGTCTTGCGATCCAGGATCGCCACCTGTCTCTCAATGTAGTTCAGGCTGCCGTCAACCTGGATGTCCTCCAAGGATACAATCGTTGAATCATCCACTAAGCACTTCCGCAACTGGGAAACATGGAAAGTGTTGTGGATCTGACTAAGCTCTGCCGGTAGATCCAACCGATAAGCCACCTGCCCACCCGGGCTATAACCCTGAAGGGACCAATGTACTTGGGGCCCAACTTTCCCCGTTTTCGGAACCGGATGACACCCTTCCAAGGTGACACCTTCAGGAGGACCATGTCGCCCACCTGAAACTCTAAATCTGAACGCCGCTTGTCGGCGTTGCTCTTCTGCCGACTCTGAGCAGTTTGGAGTCTACTCCGGACCTGCTGGATCCGCTCTATAGTCTTGAGTACTACCTAAGTACTCCCCATGACTCTCTGACCGACCTCACCACAACAGATTGGGGTCCTACACTTCCTCCCATATATCATCTCGAAGGGAGGTCGGTCTATGCTGGCGTGGTAACTGTTGTTATACGAAAATTCCGCTAACGGAAGATACATATCCCAACAACCACCAAAATCCAAAACACATGCGTGTAGCATGTCCTCGAGAGTCTGTATGGTCCTCTCGCTCTATCCGTCTGTATGAGGATGGAAAGCGGTGTTGAAGTGGAGACGAGTACCCATCTCCTCGTGAAACCACTTCCAAAATCTGGAAGTGAAACAGACATCTCGGTCTGACACCACCGAGACAGGCACTCCATGTTGTGCCACTATCTCATGCACGTATATCTCGGCCGATATGCTCTCCTGGATCGGAATAAAATGAGTGCTCTTGGTCAACCGATCCACGATGACCCATATCGAATCTACTCCACGTGCGGTCCTGGGAAGCTTGGTAATAAAATTCATAGTGATATCCTCCCATTTCCACACGGGAATGTGTAGCGGCTGCATCTTGTCGTGTGGTCTCTGGTGCTCAGCCTTGACCTTCCTGCAGGTCAAGCACCTCTCCACATACCACGCTACGTCCCGCTTCATGTAGGGCCACCAGTAATCAGGGCGAAGATCCCGATACATATTCGTCGCCCCAGGATGGATGGAGAACCTCGACTTATGGGCCTCATCCATTAGAACCTGTCGTACTCCACCTCAGTACGGAACCCGGACCCTCCCATTCAAGGTCAACAACCCTCGGCTATCATAATCAAACGAGGCCACCCGGCCTACGATCCGCTCACACTTTTGACGTTCTTCCTTCAGGCCCTCAACCTGTACCTCTCTAATATGCTCCAGCAATGGAGTAATCACTGTC